GCTGAGATATCTTTCAACAGATGAATGGATAAAGAAGATGTGGTCCATATATACAATGGGATATTACTCAGCCATCAGAAAGGATGAATACCCACCATTTGCATTGGCATGGATGGAACTAGAGGGTATTATGCTGAGTGAAATAAGTCAAGCAGAGAAAGACAGTTATTATATTATTATATGGTTTCACTCATATGTGGAACGTAAGGAATAGCATGGAGGACCATAGGGGAAGGGAGGGAAATCTGAATGAGAAGAAATCAGAGAGGGAGACAAACCATGAGAGACTCTTAGACTCTGGGAAACAAACTGAGGGTTACAGAAGGGAGGGGGGTGGGGGGATGGGGTAACTGGGTGATGGTATTAAGGAGGGCATGCGATGTGATGAGCACTGGGTGTTATACACAACTAATGAATCGTTGATCATCAAAAACTAATGATGTACTATATGTTGGCTAATTGAACATAATAAAAATATATATATATATATATATTTTTTTTAAATAGCCAAATTACGGAAAGAGCCCAACTGTCCATTGACAGATGAATGGGTAAAGAAGATGTGGGGTGTGTGTGTGTGTGTGTGTGTGTGTGTGTGTATCATATATATATGAATATTACTATATTGGAATATTACTCAGCCATCAAAAATGAAATCTTGCATTTGCAGTGACGTGAATGGAGCTAGAGGGTATTATGCTGAACAGAATAAATCAGTCAGAAAAAGACAAATACCATATGATTTCACTCATGTGGAATTTGAGAAATTTAAGAAAACAGATGAACATAGGGGAAGAGAAGGAAAAATAAAACAAGATTAAAAACAGAGAGGGAGGTAAGCCATAAGAGACTCTTGAATATAGAGAACCAACTGAGGGTTGCTTGGAGGGAAGGTGGGTGGGGGGATGGGGTAATGGGGTGACGGGCATTAAGGAGGGCACTTGAAGTAATGAGCACTTGGTGTTGTATGCAACTGATGAATCACTACATCCTACCCCCCTGAAACCAGTACTACTATATGTGAACTAACTTAAATTTATTTACTTACTTATTTATTTATTTATTTATTATGAGAGAGAGCATGAGTGCACGCATGCAGGCGTTGGGGGAGGGGCAGAGGGAGAGAGAATTTTAAGCAGGCTCCATGTCCAGAGTGGAGCCCGACTTGGGGTTTCAATTTCACAACCCCGAGATCATGACCTGGGCCAAAATCAGGAGTCGAGTCGGATGCTTACCTGACTGTGCCACCCAGGTGCACCTTGAATTTAAATTAAAAAAAAAAAAATGAAGTAGTGCAGAAGTTAGAAAAAAAATCAGTTCCTAGATTTGGGGCAGGAAAGAGTCTGTTAAGGTGGCGAAGTAGCCTTGGTTGGGCATGCAGACATGTCTGACCTGCACTCCCCACCTCCATCATTTTACTTCTAACATTTATTGAGCAAAATTCCAAATAAGGTATTTTAAATGTTTGTGAGTTCTGCCTTACTAATTTTTACAGGCAGAGAGTAATATTTCTTGCATGGGTAGAATCACTCTGTCATTTCTCCCAATGTTTTTGAGGTGGGTTGAGTCTGAGCAGCTTTTATTCAGGTGTTCCTAGGTGTCAGTGTGTGTTCTGTGTCTGTGTATGTGACACAGACAAATTCATTCATGTATATGAAATAGGTAGATGATTGCAATGACTGACACATATCCATCAATACTAATTAAAATTTTATTCGTGTTGGTATTAAAAGGTAAAGAAGAGCAAACTATACTGCACTATCATCGAAAATATATTGAAATCAACAGAAATTTCTTGAAAGCACACCCTTAAACACTGTTACTCAAGAGCATTGCATCTGAAAGCAGTCCCACAACAAACTAAAGATGCATTTGCAAATGAAAATGAATACTGAACAAAAGTGGATGTTCTTCCCGACGGTGACACAAATTCAGCTCCCGTAAATGCACATGCTTCTATTTTTAATGTAACTATTGAGAATTAGGAATTAGTATTGCCAACATTATTTTTTGTATATGAAATGACCAGAAAACTATACCATTACTTCACAGTTAAGTTACCAAGTGATTAGCATTTAGCCTTACAAATCCATTTCACTGGCTGCATATATATTTCCAACAGAAAACAACGTGATTGTTTCTCAAATGTAATAATTATTCGTATCCAGCTGTTTACCATATTTTGAGCACTTTAGGAAGCCGGTTTTACCAAGATCAGTTGTTAGCTACATCCACATGTCTAGAAGAGTTGTCTACATGCTTGAGTGGTCCAAATCCTCAGGAAAGACAATTTGTCCTCAAAGAAGGGGTATAAGAGGGGTGTCCTAAAGATGCTAACTCTTCATAATACTATTAAGCCAGAAGTTTCTAATTAAGCTTTTTGAATATTTTTGAGGTTTTCAGTATAAGCTGCAGGCAGCCAAAGAGTGCATGTTTGTTTTATTCTCTGGTTCACACCCTTGGATAAACTCATAACTTAAATTCTTTTCACATAAACTCTCACATGTTCCCATCTACCCAATCCTGAGTGGATGGGACAAGGAACATGGATTCATTTATTACATCTGGTAGAGCTGTATTACACGGGAGTGTTTTCTATTCTAGGTGAGAAAAAGAAGTGGGTAAAAATAGCTCCATCGTGGCCGAGAACACTCTGTGGCTCAGGTACGCTGGCTTCCTTCCCTGAATAAACTTGTGGTATGGCATGTTATTCAGTGAATGGCATGCTATTTGTTGAACAGAATTTCAGTTAAATTATTGTCAAACCGTTTCCTCAGCAGGAAGCAGATCCTCGATTTATGGAGTAATAACTTCCGTTTGTTCCTCTAGTAAGAAACTCAGGAGCACATGACTGCCATTTGGTTTCTACCTGTCTCCGGAGAAGTTCAGTGGTGGCATCGCTGTGGGCGACGCACACACGGCCTTGGCCGCGAGCTCACACCTGGGTCGGGGAGGCCGCCGCCCTGCTGCCCTCTCCATGCTTAGGGTTGCCCACTGCCTGGTGCGAGATGAGACACGTGTTGTAAGTCAACCTGCATGGAGGCTGCTCAGTGGCTCTCTCTGGAGACAGTCGGCCATGAAGGTCTCTGCCCCAAAGAGAGACGGAGGCAGAGCTAATTCTCTAACACAATCAAATTAGTCCCTGTCTTTGGACTTTTTACAGCAGAATATGGAGAAGCGTGGCCCCCCCGGAAGTGGAAGAAGGTCAGCTCCCAGGAAGAAGCAGTGGCTGCAAGTGTCCTGAGTGAAAGAAGAGAGCGATGGGCTTCCAGCTCTGCCTTGAATTCTTTTATCTCTGTATGTATGTAGGTAACACTCGTACACACATGGAACCTGAGTGAGTCTCCCTTACTTTCACACAGAGGGTCTAATATAGTCCCCAAATGAATTCTGTTTCCTCTGGAACGTTACCTAGTGTGTCACCAAGATGGGCCTGGTGACAGGGGCTGTGACAGAAGACGTGGTCACCTGATGTCTGACACACACTCACAGAAGACGTCCTTCCACCTCAGAGATTGGAGAACGGCTGATGTGGGGGGACCAAGGTCATCTCTGAAAGAACTTTGTGAAGTTTTTCTAAAGTTCTTTAAAAGTCATTTAAAAAGGTCTTAGAACTCACAAAGAAAAAAAATAACAGTCCTAATAGGTAAAAATGAGTGTCTGATGACATCACCCCTAGCACGCACACCTCAGCGGGGGGTCTCTGTGGCTCCTGGTGAAGGTGAAGATGTGCCGACTCCCAGCAGGTGTCTGCTGTCAGACCCCTGCAGGCGTTACAGGGGGACACGCACAGAGATGTCTGGGGTGGTGCTGTCTGCAATAAAAATACTTCTCGTAATGAGTGAACATGGATGAGAAATGGAAGCATCCTAAATATAGTTTGTTCTGTGTTCCTATAAGGCTCGTTAGAATTCTCAGGGACAGCCATCCTCCCATTTCACAGATGAGGAGACCATGTATTTTGCCTAGAGAGATTCACAGCCTGATTCTGGAGCCCTTCTCCTTGCTCACACGGTTTCTGCAACTTGCTGTTTGAAGCTGGTACAGAACGGGAGGGGGACAGAGCACACAGAGGAGTCATGTGTCCCCGGCCTCGGCTCATGCCCAGGAACGCTGTGGAGGTGTGAGCTCCTGACCACACGCCTGTGCTGGGGGCAGAGCAGCCGGGAAACGTCCAGAAGCCCGCCATCGAGACAGGGCAGGACTGCCGTCTTTGCAGCCAGACCAAGTCCAGCAGCAGAGACTGGAAGCCAAAGTGTCTGTGGGCTGAGTCAGGTTGTTCGCATGCCCATTAGGCTGGGGCAGAGTCAGCCTAACAAGGACTGTAGGGAGAGAGCAGCTCACGGTGGGGCTGGGTGGAGGCACTGGGAGCCGGAGAAAAGGCTGGGTTTCCCAGACCGCGTCGCACTGAGCGGCCACTTGCAGATCGGTGGGAGGGCTTGTCAGGGTGGCCAGTCCCAGTAGGAAGGGCGCGCACAGGTTTCCCCTCAAAATGCATCCCCTGCAGAGAAAGAACGCCTCCGATGGACTCTAAATACACCTCCCAGATTCGGTCACAGTCTGTGTGTTGCGTTGCTGAGACAATAATAAAGCGACTATGCCCCAGTGGACTTCCGTGCCTCCCCTGAGGACGTCTCATTCTGTTTCCTACTTAGAGACCGTTCATAAATCATTCTCCAGCTAAGTACAGTTCAGGGCTGCCACTTAGCTTATCTGACCTTCACATTAATTATTTTTATTACAGCACCAGGAACCTCAATGTTCTTTTACCCCTGCTGCCCGGAGCCATGTGGCCCCGAGTGGGGCAGCCCTGCCATGCTCGTCCCGCACCTGCATGGGCGCGGGGCTCTCCCCAGTGGACCAGCCCACACCTCGAGTCCCGTCACACCAGGGGATGCACAGGGCCCGTGTATGTGTGTGTGCGTGTGTGTGTGTGTGTGTCTTGAGATGCCATTAAAATTCTTAACAAAAACTGAAAGTGAAATGAGGAAATGATTGGGCAATCGGATTGAAGGGCCAGTGCCAGGAAGACCTATCATACAGTGGGGGCCGGGATGCAGCGGGGCAGACGGCGGGAGGCTCAGGAGAGCTCTCCTGCGGGCGACAGCAGGGCCAGGCCCTGGAGTCAGTGCAGGACACCAGCAAGCACAGCTCACAGGAAATGATCCATTCCCTGCGCTCGCTCACTCGAAAGGCCCGAACCTCCAAAGTTCCAGGAGTGCCATGGATGGCTGTGCAGGCCAGCGGTCACGCCTTTCTCCCTGCCTGGAGAGGGGAGAAGAAATGAAACTGAGGGAGTGTGTCTCCATCCTCCCCCTGAAGGAAAGCCCCTCTGTCCCATTCTCCAAAGATGGAGCACTGCTGGCCGTGACCCTGCTGCTGGCCCTGATGGCCGGCTGCCTCTCGGTGCTGGCTTTCTGCAGGGTAGCCGCCCTTCAGGCCGAGCTGGGGAGCCTCCAGGCGGAGCTGCGGCAACACCAGGCAGAGCGGCTGCCAGGCCCCCCCCAGGCCGGAGCCGCGGCCCCCGGGGCAGCCGTGCGGAAGGCTCCAGCTGTCACCTCGGCTCTGAAAGTGAGTTTGCAGCAAGCAGCTGCAGCCCCAGGCATGGGCTCCCCCCGCACCGCCGCCTCCCGCACCTCAGATGTCTTTGCAGTAACTTGGGGTTTCTCTCTTCTTAGGGGATCTTCGCACCACCCGCTGCAGGAGAGGGCAACTCCAGCCAAAGCAGCAGAAACAAGCGTGCCCTTCAGGGTCCAGAAGAAACAGGTAGGTTTCAGGCACAGAGGCATTTATGAGTCAGGGAGCCTGGCGTCCACAGGTGTGGAGGATGGCCTCTGCTCTGGGGGCCCGAGAGTGGACCAGTGCACGGAGACTGTGAAAGTTGCATCTAAACTGGAGGGGGCTTCCGGGCACAGCCCAAGCACAGCACGTTCTGTCCTTCATGAGCAGAGCCTGAGGGCTGTCCTGTCCCACAAGCAGAGCGGAGGAGGAAAGGGCCACATAGTCTCATAGATCATGCCTTTGTCAGAAACCTTGTCTAGCCCTCCAGGAAGAAAGTACCGCATGTTAGTGTAGATTCTGTCTACCAGAGTCAGAGAAGGCCAGGTAAAGGTAAACACTTCCTCAGGGCGCATGGCGTGCCCTGCCGCCCAGTGAAGCTCATATTGCAGCAGGTGTGCGTTTGCGATTTATTTGTTGCCTTAGTTTTCAAAAAGTTCATTTTACACACACATGCACACATGCAGAGATTTTAATGCTTTTCCAGGAAATCCACAAGTTTATGATCTTCTTGTAAGAGTTCTTAAGTGATTCCTGCCTTTGTTCATGTCCCACTTATTCCAGAGTCTTACAGATTCCTGAAACCTCGGATTGGGCAGGGCATCCCCAAATGCTTGACTCTAGTTCCTGCATTTCAAAGATGAAAAGGAGTATTTGCATTACATTCAATAGCAGCACACCTTAAGAAATCCTTGGTATTGTTTCTCTTTTATTTATTTTGAAGGAACATGTTTGGAGCACAGAATGTGCCGGGCAGGCACGTGCTGGGATAGTTACTGTCATGGCTACTGTGTCCTTAACCCTCACACTGACTGTGAGGTGAGCAGAACAGGTGTAGTTCTGTACATACAGGTTTGCACTTGTGAAGGGAAGTGCATGACTTACTGACTGGGTGCTCTTCTGTGAGATAACACACACACACACACACACACATCAGATGCTCTGGCTGGAAACGTATTTTTCACTAACTGCCTTATTCATGGACAAAATTCTTACCTATTTCATAAAGACCGTGATTTTAACATATGCTTTGTGTCAATTATCAGAAACAGTTGGATTGAAACATATATAAACTAGGAAACACTAATACTTTTACTATACTTTAACACATAAATTATTTTCATACTTTGCCTTTTGTCATCTGTATTTCCTACATAATTGGAAAAATATAGCATATAGTATATTTTTGTGTTCACTTATCATTATACAATAAGCATTTTCCCTATTTCTAAGTAATTCCATATTAGTTTGCTATATCATGCAGTTATTTAACATGACCATTTCCAAAATTTTTGTGCAGATCTCTTGTTTCTGAGGAATTATATGTTCCATATAAGTTCTGTAGATAGACTATCAGAGCTAAAGAGGATGAACATCTTTACCACCCTCGCTGCCTCTTGCCATGTTGCTTTCAAAATGAGTTATAAATGTATGCAGTCAGAAATGCAGTGGACAAGTTCTCCGCATTCTTACAGCGTTTTATCTTTTAAAATTTATTTTGGCTAATTTAGTAGTTGTAAAACAGTATCTCAGATGTAATTTGTTTCCTGCTTGCAAATAAGAATTTCTTTCTGCATATTTGGATAACTTCTAATTTTATGTTCTGCTAATTTTTATTTATAACTTCCCTCATTTGTCCTAATTTTTTTTGTAATTTTGAAGAAACTATATTAGACATTCTGCCTATCAAAATTCTGCTGTAAATATTTTCACAATATTTGGCTTCTTTTTTTAACTTGTACAGAGATTTTACATCTGTGTATTTAATGTGATAAACTTTTCCTTTTGATCGTCTCTAATACATTAAAGCTAAAAATGTATTTATTCATAATCTCTTACATAGCCTACTGTATTCGCTGCTACTTTGACTTTTATCTAACTTAGTGTTTTAGTTTGGTACTTAACTCCTTAATCCTCCTGGCGTTCATTTGGTAGATCATGTCTACTAGCTTTAACTTTCCCTTTCTTCTTTTATTTTTTTCCTTCCAAATTACTGCTAAATATCTCAACTAAATTTATTGGATGATTCTTTTTAACTTGTTTGCATTCGAAAGCTTATTGTATTATATTAAGTTTCTCATATATAGTTGAATCTATTTTGGACTGTTTTTTCATTGATTTATTATTCTATTTATCTGTATTAAATAATATATTTTAAGTATTTTATAATATAATGAGCTTTAATATCTAGTAGGGTCAAAGTGCCTCAATCTTCTTCAACCTCCATGCTAGTATTCCCCAGCCTCTGCACATTAGTTTTACAAATAAACCTTAACTTTACCATCACAGAGAGGATATGGGCTCTTTATAGCAGATTTAAGAAGAAAAGACATTAAGTAAGAAATGAATTAACTCCTGGAGTCCCACGTCCCCAAAATACCCTCTATTATATTTTAAATTTTCCTAACATGTGCAAATTTTTACAAATTTATGATTTTATGGCATCCAAAAGTTATATGCTTATTAAAAATTTTCCCTAAGTAATTTGTAATTGTTAGAAAGTTTGGAAAGTAACAAAAAATTCTATCAAGTGAATCAAAATTTACCCAGCTTCCAAAATCCAGATGTAACTGCTCTTGTCATTATCATGGTTTGCCTGAGATTTTTATAGACCTTTTATATAGTACATATATCTATGTAGTATACATAGATATAGTATGTATATGAATTTATCATACATATGTATAGATAACATATATATGCAATAAACAGTACATCTCTCTACACACACACACACACACACACACACTCATAACATTCATAGATCTGAGATGGAAAGCCTGAGGAGGAGAACCTCAGTGACAGGTCATATTTACTATTCCTCATTCATGAAACTGGCTTGAATGTTGTTTTAGATGCCATCCTTTTGTGCAGGGAAAATGTATTTTGTTTAGCACTACAAAATTAATGTGTCCATAACCAAGAAGTTTGTCTGAAACTCCTTGTTTTTTTTTTTTTTTTTGTCTGTTTGGTACTGTCTTTTTTTTGGAATTGAGAAAACTACTGTTTGAATCTATGCAGCTTTCTTTGTTTTTTTCGTTTCTATTCTGGTTCTGATTTATTTTTTGATGATATTTATTTGTGTATTTATTTCAGAGAGAGAGAGAGACCATGAGCTGGGGGGGTTGTGGGGGGAGGGAGAGGAGAAGCAGACTCCCCACTGAGCAGGGAGCCCGACTCTGACTCTGGTTTAATCCCAAGACCCTGAGATCATGACCTGAGCCAAAACCAAGAGTTGGATGCTTAACCGACTGAGCCACCGCGGCGCCCCTAGTTCTGATTTATTTTAAGTAAGACTCAAAAACTTTAGGTTGTCCCTGTTGCTTTCAAAGTGTCCAGCCATTCATGTTCTTATTTATTAATTTTCTATATACATCCTAGAACCATTGACATTTTTTGTTGGAATTTTATAAAAATTGTAACTCTGAAGAAGAAAATGGAATTTTTACATGGTTTAATTTTATATATCCAGGAACACTTAATATCTTTATTAAATATCAAATTTTAAATTTCCCAATTAGATAGAATTTTCCTTTTATAGATTTTACTCTTCTTTCATAGTTAAGTGTAAAAAACGTTTTGTTGTGATTTTGGAGTCCTGGGATTTTCAAATAGGTTGTTAAACTGTTTAAAAATGTACAGAATTTTCAACAAATAATGCAGCATTCAATCAATCTCATGGTTAGTTTTAAGCCACATCAACACACTTACTGGATTTATACTTAATAGAATTATAGTATTGTTTTAGATTTTGTTTTTAGGATACTCTGCATATTCTGTCATTTTATAACTATGTCAGAAAGGTTCATAGCTAAGTACTGCTGAATAACACTCCAGAATGTTGCCCATTTTTATTTCTCTGTAAATCCAACCTAAATTTCAGCAGGCACTTCAGTTTTATTGTGTGTTTGTTCAATCTGTAAGTAAACTCCAGTGTGTTGGGCTAGAAAGCCCCACGTCCTCAGCACACAGCACACCTGGTATTACATAGATCACCTGGGGGAGGTTTGTACGTGTCCTGTCTGTCAAGCTAAAGAGGAGAGGCTTCCGTGCTCTGGGTCCTGTGTCTTTGGCACATTCATCATGATACTTGTACACAGTAGGTGTTCTGTGAATTTTTGCTGATCGATTTTGGGCTCACTATGAAGTAAGATGCAGTGATCTGGCATCATTGGAAGGGGGGATTTTCCCGGATTTCTTTTTTTTTTTATTATGTTATGTTAGTCACCGTACAGTACATCGTTAGTTTTTGATGTAGTGTTCCATGATTCATTGTTTGTGTATAACACCCAGTGCTCCATGCAGAACGCGCCCTCTTTAATACCCATCACAAGGCTAACCCATCCCCCCTCCCCCCTCCCCTCTAAAACCTTCAATTTGTTCCTCAGAGTCCATAGTCTCTCATGGTTCATCTCTCCCTCCAATTCCCCCATTTCATTTTTCCCTTCCTTCTCCTAATGTCCCCCATGCTATTCCTTATGTTCCACAAATGAGTGAAACCATATGATAATTGACTTTCTCTGCTTGACTTATTTCACTTAACATAATCTCCTCCAGTCCCATCCATGTTGATGTAAAAGTTGGGTATTCATCCTTTCTGATGGCTGAGTAATATTCCATTGTATATATGGACAACATCTTCTTTATCCATTCATCTGTTGAAGGGCATCTCGGCTCTTTCCACAGATTGGCTATTGCGGACATTGCTGCTATGAACATTGGGGTGCATATGGCCCTTCTTTTCACTACATCTGTGTCTTTGGGGTAAATACCCAGGAGTGCAATTGCTGGGTCATAGGGTAGCTCTCTTTTTAATTTTTTGAGGAAACGCCACACTGTTTTCCAAAGTGGCTGTACCTCTTCATTTCTCAGGTTTTGATTGGAGGCCATGTTATGCAATTTTTTAACTTGATATTTAAAACAACTAATTCACCAAAGAATGAGTTGGATAGCAAGGCTGGACTTGCTGGGAGAATTTGGGGGCCCCT